TTAATCTGGCCAAACCTTACATCATTATTCTGATAGTTCCATAAAAAAGAGCTATTATTTTGTATCTTTCATTGTATACTTCTGAAGAGAAATAGCTACATAATCATGGACAAAGAAAGGCCTTATCCTAAAAAATATTCGGTTTAATTGTGAAATATTTTTTATCACTTATGTTACATTGATGTGTTGTTCAATTAAAGATACATAGTCAAACCGTCCAGTTGTCTATCTATTCCGGACATTATTTAAATGGTAAAATAACTTATTATATGTTCTGTCGATAGAGCGTTAAAGTCTGACATAGAAACCGAGACCTGTTATACAATTAATGGAAAATAGGTGAGATATTTACTAATCAGCATACCAATGTCGTCTGTTATCGACGTCACAAAATACATAAAACAAGCCATGACGTCAACTAAAGTGTAATTGTTCAGTAATTTCACTACATTTGAAGATTTGGGTAGTACTCTGTTAATAATGATGCAAAATTAGTCAAAATACAGCTACACAAACAGGCGAATATGTGAATCTAAGAACTGATTTACATATCAGATAGGGCCATCCAAACGACTATTACGTGCTTTCTCTTTTACATTGTCACCTTTTCTTATAAATTGCGAAACTACCAAAACGTATCCGCTCACATTGGGGAACTTTGTATTGGAATAGTTTGCTTGACGGGGAACAAAACATAACGAAAATATAGCGTCCGTATCTACAACAAATTCTCTCCAAGTGAGTTACATTAGCCTAGTGTTAAACATAGTGGAGTTATGCCCCCTTATCTTTATACGTGTATGACCTCTCTGTCGTCGATTGACGTCATAGAAGAAAATCCATTTTCGACATTTATTGCGAGTAATTTTTTAAGTTTTAACGTATAACGTTACGTATAAGCACACAAACCCATTTCATATCCACTTATGTCGTTCAGATATCAGGCTGTATTTTCTTCGCTTACACTTTCCGTAAAGATGCCAAATTAAAAAAAATCGTAGCACAGTGCCTTTATCGGTGCACGATAAAAAGAGGCGAAATTTACTTATTTTATAACGATATAAAATATCGGACAACATTTAGCTGTGTTTATTTCTAAAACCGCCTAGGTATTTGCACTTATATTTATAGCAACGGATAGGAAATTTAATATTCTACATTTCTGTATAATTTTATAGAGGTAAGCAGATCCAGGACCTCGCGAGCGCAATTCTCGGAGAACGTTCACTTTCCAAACCTTTTGAAAATATGCGTCTGAAAAAAACTCGGCATCCAGGGGGTTAAGCCTCCTTCACAACAATATACATAATGCTCTCTGTTGGAGGCATCACAACACTGAATCTGAGAGATCGTGTCCGACTACAGTATTTCTCCAAACCTCGCGATTTCTGAGTTGCACGATACATTAATCGAGTAAATTTCAAAATGTACATAACATAACAACAACAGGGCGATAATGACTGTAAAATTAACTTACCGCAACCGAGGCCCAGTCCTATTGGTTCCTGCACAATGACATAGTTACATCGTCCTGAATAAACTTCAACGAAGATGGCGGGTACGAAAATATGACATGAACGTATGACATCATTCCGACGTCCTTTCCCGCAGTAATTTTTCTTGTTTTGAAAAAACATTTGAATAATGAATGTTTTAAATAGTTGAGAGACATTGTTAAAACATTGTGACTATGTTTTGACGAAAAGAGTTTTGATAAACCAGTTTGAAATCTTATGAAAATATTTGGAAAATGTTATGTGTTAGGTGGGTTACATATAGGCCCGCTGTCGGCCCAGCGCTGTTCAACGATGCCGATATTAGCCGACAGTGCCGACTATCAGCCGACGTCGGGCCGACGATGCATGCTACCTGGGTAGCGTTTTTGTGACAAAAGTGATGCAAATCTTAGACATTTACTGCAGATCAGATACATTTGGGTGTTACTGAAATAACCCACAGAGGATAACACCGGGTGTTACACGTGTTACACCTAAAGCAGTCTGTCAGGTGTGACGGTATCTTGTGACTATTTCAAATGTATGCTTGTACGTATGCGGCAAATTGAAAGGGTGGTGGACTTGGTTGAGGACTTAGTTGAGGCTGTGTCATCGTAACCCGACGCTCTGGCGCCAAACAACAAACTACTTCGACGGGCGACGCATTTGGCTTTCTATCTTCCTCTACAAAACAATTATGCGCTTATGAAATGTCTGTCCTCGTTTGTTATGTTCACCCAATGTTACGATAATTATAAGTATGGGCGGATGTTTCTAAAGATTAATACCACTTCAAAGGACTTCACAAATAGGTTTTGCAATTCGCTGTAGAAAATGAATACAATGTATGTTAAATGGTGAATATAGAGATCTCAGTGGTCGTAAACAGGATACAATATTGACGTCAATATTGGCGAAGTGTGACTTTTAATTACCTATTAGGCTGTTTACAGACTCATAAATATTTTATATGTGCTTACATGCAAGAGAGAGAGAGACTTGTGCGAGTGGATGTGTGAGCAATTGGAATTTCCGAGTAAAAGGAAGGTTAAATGAATGGGGCCTTAGTGTGGAAGCTGATGTTAATGTTAAACGGGTATGCGAGAAGGTGCGAGATATTTGTATGCAGAAGTATGTGAATGATTGGTATGAGTTATTACACAAGCCAAGTGGTAGAACGGGAGATAATAAATTACGAACGTATCGAATGTTTAAGGATGTGTATGGCTGTGAAAGTTATGTGAGTATGAGTATGCCCCGTTCTTAAAGCTCTGCCTTCTCCAAATTCAGATCAGGTACTGCTCCTCTGCATTTGGAAACCGGCAGATATACAAATGTGAATGTGAATGAGAGGGTATGTTTTCAGTGTAGTGCGAGTGTTGAGGATGAAAGACACGTTCTGCTGTATTGCTCTATGTATGATGATTTGCGTGAAAGTTTATATGAAAATGTCTGTTTTAGCTATCCCAACTTCTTAGATCTTTGTGATGATGATAAATTAGTTTTAATTTTTAAACACCATGTATATTTCAGTGCCAAAATCTGCTTTTATATCTTGCAAAGAAGAAAACATATTTTATACGGATAGATTTTATACTGTATGTACCTATATAATTATTTATTATTTAGTATTTATAATGTACTAAAACATTAGTCTCTCATAACCCTTAAAGGGTGGCTTACTTATGTGCTATATTTTATAAATATATTTTTATATGTATTTTATGTGAGGTGAGACTGAAATAAAATATCTGTCTGTCTGTCTGTCTGTCTGCAACTGTTTGGTTGTCTCCCAAAACCCCTACAGCCCAGTTCCCCATACAATTAGTTAAAACAACACGTGGCATTAACCTGAACGTCTGGCATAATGAACTGACCCAAAGGAGAGATTACAGGGTGGAGTATACAGTGTTAGATTAAGCTGCACAGAGTATACCGATGAGAAGGGAATAAGATTGTGCTGTTGTTATTAGGGTTTTAACATTTCATTTTAAATAAATGAGATGAATTAAATGTTGAACTAGATTTTTTAGCTTCCTGATGTACATAGTGAGCAGACAGGTTTTGGAAATCAGTAATAATATCAGTTGTAATAGTGTTGAGATAGTACACTGAGATAAATAATTTGAGATGATTTGGGGTGGTATATACGAGGGGCGTTAAAAAAGTAGTCAGCCTAACTATATTTTCGCGATGTTCAATGTTTGAAAAGCTTCCATTTTATTTTATTTATTCACTACCCGTCATAATCAACATTCAAAGATTTTGATTCTTTAATTTGCATTTAGACGGGGGCACCCCCACTGTGTCAAGATATTCAAGCTGGCACTGTTTACAATATATTGAGAGCTGACATTTGTGTGACCATTCAGTATTTAGTTTGAACCCTTGGCATCATGTATGAATATTTGAAAACATTAGAATAAATTATGCCCTTATGATTACGTCATCTGAAAGGGTTGGGTAGTGTCTCCAAAACAAGCTTCAGTAAACATGAAGGGGGAATCACTTCAACAAGCGACTGTAGTTGCAAATTGCTTTTTTATGCACTTTAATATTTAAGTTTGATTATAGTGGACTTCTGCCTCTCTCAAACACACAAGATGTTTCTTGCATATTTTGTTTCCTGATGCATTTATTGCAGCTTTTGCGTTTATGGGGGCTACCAAGATAAAAAGTCAAACAAAATGGGGATCATGAGGCTGGAACATGGCAAAACCGATTTGCTTGAGGCTGACAGATAATATGTAGAAAAATAAAATATAGAAATATTTAATTTGTTATGACATCATGATATTTAATGAAGTTAATTAAATCTCAAATTCAATATTATTTTTGATAATATTTTTGTTATCATCTATTAAAACCATTCTCTGAAACTCTTAGTTTGGTTATTGCTCATTAAAATCATTCTCTCAGTTGCTAAATGTTTGGGCTGGTCCATTCTATGAAATAGGTAACAGGCAGGAGATTAGCAGTGCACTGGGCCAGGAACTTTGTTGTTATAAGCTGTAGGGGTTATGGAATGTAGGGGTTTTGGGAGGTTACCAACTGTTTTCATACAAAAATCTGTATATGTCTTGGTGGTTATTCATGTTAAACATACAATACAACTACAAAAGTGTCAAAACGAATCGTATTCGCCCGTTCAAAATTCACAATAACAAAAGAAAAAAACTTCAATCTCTGGTAAGAGAAAAATCGATTGTGTTATTCTGGCTATATCATGAGCCTGTGGTTATGAATCAGCATCATATAGTGATAATAATTGGTGGTCTCGAAAAGCTGAGTGTATTCTGCCCCACTGTCACAAACATACGCAAAGGCAAGTCCATTGTTAACCGGGAATAAACAAGGGAACATATGGTACACGTAAACACGTAAACGCATCTGATGCGTATCACTTTGAATGTCCTCTACCTTTCTACTGCAATTTTTTAAATAATCATCATCTTGTACCTCCTCTACTCTACCGATTCATCATCATGTACGTTTCTGATTCAGGTCGGCTACATCAATGTTGGTGACAGCGTGGACAAACAAGAGATCTACGTAAAGGTGTATGCTCTGGAGCTGAAGACCAAACACTCAGAGGGTAGCTACGTCTCAATTACAAAAGAAAAATAAAACCACTGCTACTTCGACAACTCCTACTCTTACTACCATCACCACGACTACTGCTACTACTACTGCTACTACTACTACTGCTGCTACTGCTACTGCTACTCCTACTCCTCCCACTACCACTACTATGTTCATTTATATAAATAATAGTTTATATCACCATCACCACCGATCCTCATTCACCTCGAATTAACCCCACCCTAACTCCGACCCCCACCCTAACTCCGACCCCCACCCTAACCACTGACAATCTATATACAGGAAGCACAAGTAATTGCAAGTGACATTAAAGCTGATTAAGAACTTATGCCCATAGAAGAATTTTGTCACGATAAAATACAGTGGGAATCGTGAAAATAATAGGGACATCCCGAACGGACTGATCTGTCATTCGTCACTACATACCCCTTATCGAAACCTGCAAGAACATTCGATTTATAAGTAAACAGACACACAAAATATGGTTGTAAATGATTTGTGCAAAGAACTCCTCCTTAAGACTATTTCTTTACATGCATTTTTTTGTATCTGAAACAGAGTTGAAAGTGACAGTCACAAAGGTTTCACCAAAGTTAACATTTAGTGGTTATAAATGTTACACACAGAACACATGCACAGTTGCCATGGGAGGAACCCGTGTCTCTATTCATCTATGCATGACAAAGCGTAACACTTCCTCCAAGTCCTATGTTGTGCATACATTCCATGTAGTTATTAGGAAGGAACTTGTGGGTACTTCCTTTTCTAAATGGACCCCTATAAGTTATGTTAAAAATAGATACAGTACAACCAGAAATTGTTGAGAATTTAAAGATTGTCCAAAAATTTTTTCACTCATTACTCACGTATTAAATGTGAATATTAGCAGAACATAACTCCAGATTCAAAGACAGGTGAACAGTTAGTATTTTGTAAAGTCACCATGGGCAGCAATGCAGGCTTCAATGCGGCGGGGCATACTACTGATCAATGAAATTAGAAAGTCGTGGTCCATGCTGTCCCAATATCGGACCACCTCTTCTTTCATTTCAGCAATATTGATCAGATTTTTCTTATTGACACGTTCCTTCATAAGTCCCCAAACATTTTCTATTGAGTTTAGGTCAGGGCTATAGCTTGGCCAATCTAATAATGTCATATTTTGGGTCCGAAACCAGGCCCGTGAATGCTTTGAACGATGTTTTGGGTCGTTGTCCTGCTGGAAATCCAAACATTTCCATAGAACACGTGAGCAGATGGAAGTAAATGTCCCTCGAGAATATCTGTGTACCGCTCACTGTTCATATTCCCTTCAAATACACAGAGGGGCGTTGCCCCTAACACAGATATGCCACCCCACACGTTAAATTTCGGACTGTACTTTGGGCGCTGATACGAAGGTTTTTCAGTTTGTTTGGTCCAGAATTTCAGTGTATTAGGAAACAGCCACACAGAACTTTCATCTGAGAAAATCACATTGTCCCAGTTAAAATTTCTATGCTGTAAGCACCAGTTCAACCTTCGCTCCTTTCGTTCAGGTTTCATGATCGGTGATGGAATTCCTCGACTTTTCTGCCAACCCATTGCATGCAGCTCAGTTCTAATTGTCTCCTTACAGACAGCCACAGTTCCTCTATCAACCATGTCCAGCCTTAAGTTTTCTAAACTCCTTCGTTTGTATTTATAAACAAGAATACCAAGCCTCCTCCTGTCACCGACAATCAATTTTCTGGGCCTACCTGCGCCTCCCTGGTGCTCAATGCCATATCCATTTGCAATATTTTTCAAAACGCGATAAACAGTGGACAAAGGGATGCCTGTTCTACTTGAAATCACTTTAGCTGATCTGATGTCCTTGTTATAATACTCTAAACACAACTTCCTCTTCTCTAAATCATCCATTCTGAGGATCACTGAAAATGTCGTCTGCTAGCAGTACACAAAGGGGGATAAACTCTTCACAAACTAATGAAAAAGGATGAACGGAGTTGTCTCTCTTAGATGAAACCAAGCACTTGATAGCTGGTCAAGGTTGTTTATACTAGAAATCCAATGAAACATATTCATAAAATTCTCAATAATTTCTGGTCATACTATATATTCACGTATATCAGTTGAAATACGAATCCTTTCAAATGGAATAAAGTTGACATATGGTATTTGGCAACAAATCACATTGGTGAACCACATGTTTCGTCCCAGGCAGTTGGGAAGTGTCTTTAAATCGGCGAACTTTTAGAATTCAGCACCACAAACTTTACAAATTGAATCACAATACCTTATGACGTAATTTGTGAAACTTTGTTACCAAACACAATGCTCTGCGACGTCAGATTATTGTTTGGGTTTGCCTAGGCTCCTCTCAGAGGTCTGCTGTCTCTATGTGCATTGGCACTGAGTAAGCCAAGCGATGTTGGGAGTTTGTGCGCTAAACATAGCCGGCGGCGCATTTAAAAGCATGTTTAGTTTACACATTTTTTATTTCGAAATACAAGAAATGAGGATCGGTGAACAAGCCAAAGGATTATGCATATACCTCTTCCGTACAACATAGAGAGAAGAAAAAATAATTTTAGTGACATCATAAAATAGTCGTTTAAGTGTTGTTGGCAAGTGTAATCAATACAGCAATTGTATTGTCACATATCAATCAAAATTATGGCAGTATATCAAAAGGTATATGGTAAAATTATGTAATGTTTCATATCTTTGGATCGTTACGAAATTATGGAGTTATGTGTTTCATATCTTAGTATTTTACAAAAGCAGGAAATCTACCTGATAAAAATATGAAACTGCGCACTGATTTCAAGATTTCCATATTCGTTTTTAAGTGTGAGCTGGAATGACCGTAAAAGATTTTAAATCAAAGCCATTCACAAAGAAATACAAATCGTGTCTGATCAAGTCATAATCAGCGCAGACAAAGAAATAATGTAGAGTGTCTTCAGTATGACAGCCACAGTTACATATTGGTCTCTCAGCTAGATGTCTACCAAATTTGTCGGCGTTGAGATCGCTGCAACCAAGTCGGAGGCGGGGAGTGACTGATTTGACAGAATCGTGAACAGTAGTTAAGATCGAAGTAATTTAGTTTAGTAATATTTTCTTTTTTTAATCTCTTTTATAATTCGCCAAGGGATGGGGCGCTTGTACTGTCTGAGGGTAAAGTATTCCAGATATTGACTGTGTCAGGAAGGAATGTTTTGGCATAGTTCTACAATTAATACTTTGGAAGTTTAGATGGTTTCTTAAACAATAAGTGGTTGAATCAGATACTTTATTTGGTAAGAGAGATGATAAATAAGGAGGCACTAGATTGTTTTCCATTTTATAGAACATGCATAGCTTTTGAGAATGTCTCCTTTTATCCAAAGAGGTAAGAATTATTTCATCATAAAGTTTATCATAACTAGTGCCACTGACAGCTCCACATTCAGTTCTGATTGCATGGAGGTGTCACTTTTCAAGCATAGGTTTTTGTTCATTTGTACAATTGTACCAAATATGACTGACATAATCGAAAATAGGCAGTATAAATGATTTGAACATAGTTTCCAGAGTCTTTCTATTAAGGCGATACTTAAAACTTCTTAGACAATTTATCATGAGGCCAACTTACCTTGAAGTGTCGATATGACTGTACCAGAGGCCATCTTGTTGAAATGTTACTCTAAGGTGTTTATGGTCTGGCACCTCGGCGATGACAGAGTTATTCATTATCAATTTTGGCGCTTGAGTTAGTTTTCGGGAAATTTGTATAGATACAGTTTTACTTGGATTGAAATCAACTTGCCATTCCTCTGCCCAGTTAGATATTCTTGATAAATGCTCATTTAACAAGCCGCAGCTGTTTTTGGGTCATGTACTATAACATAAAGCGGCGTGTCGTCCGCGAAAAGTCTTATGTTACTATTAATGTCATCAACAATATCATTTATGTAAAGTATGAATAATAGCGGTCCGAGAACTGATCCTTTGGGGACACCTGCTAGAACTGGTCTAAGGCCGGATTATTAACCATTTAGAACAACGCGTTGACATAGCTTTTCTAAGTAACTTTTAAACCATAGTAACAAGTTGCCGTTTAAACCATATGATTCAAGTTTATGAAGCATACCGCTGTGCCACACCTTGTCAAAAGCCTTACTAATGTCACAGAAAACAGCCTTTACTTCCTTTCCCTTAGCCATTTCTCTGGCGATAAAATCGTACAGATACGTAAGTTGATTTGTAGTTGAATCACCCGACATGAAACCAGATTGGAAGTTCGTGATTAAGTTATTATCTCTTAGATAATCGGAAACATATTTAAACACACACATTTCGAAATTCTTTACAAGACAACTTGTCGATGCTACGGGTCTATAGTTACTGCATTCGTTTATGCTACCCTTTTTAAGAATTGGTACGACAGAAGCGTCTTTCCAGATTGCTGGGAAAATTGAGTGTTCTAAATATGCATTAAATAGTTTGGACAACGGAGCCAATACAATTGACGGGCCTAATTGCAATAGTTTATTGCCTAAACCATCATGTCCACAAGGTTTAGATAGAAGAATATCGCGAACATCGATGACCGTTATGGTTATTGATGATAAGAATTTATCAGTTTTTTTTTAGAAGATTGGGAGATTTTTGTCCGTGTTTTGGACAGTAGCTTGTTTCGAAAAATATTCATTCATTACTTCAGATATATCCTCCATAATTTCATAGGTGACATCATATTAATTTATTGGTGGGAATCGGCTGATGTTACTTGAACCCTTTAAATAATTTTAACTAAACGCCACCAGTAACTTTTCCCATGTGATTCGTTGATAGTGCGATCAATGTTCAAAATATGATTTTACTTAGCGGTTCTTACCGATGATACTACACTGTATCTAGCTTGACGGAATTTTGTCCAGTAAGAAGGGAGATCGCGTTTCTTAGCAATTTTGTGCAGCCCGTTATGTTTCCCAATCATTCGACAAATTTCACTAGTAATCC